AAAGTGTAATTTTAAAATAAGGTCCTTTCCAAATGCCCCCTTTTGTGTAGGATAATGAGGTACTTCTCACCCACATGAGCAAGCCTCTTATGCCATTTTAGGGTAAAATTAGATTCAGTACTATATACTATAGTAGTATTCTAAAATACTATTTCAGCTTTAATGAAATAGATTCCATTTTTCTTTACTCCCCTAAAAATGACAAGAAATCCCTTAATGACTTTCACCATACCATCTCCAATCCTACCACACATCCCTAGTTCTTCTAATTCTCCCATAGATATTAGATTGCTTTTGAGTTTAGGAACATACCTAACTCTTTCTAGTGTGTACAAAAAGCCATTTTAAAATTTTAGGGTCACTTTACCTAATCCATCAACCTTACAGGCAATATTATTTCCCATCACAACTGTTCCACCTTCTATTTTCTTAAAGTCTTGAATCCATGACTTTTCATGTGTAATATGAGAAGTACAGCCTAAGTCCAAGATCCACTCATGAACATATCTATTATCGGCATAATTTGCAAATTCCAGATCAGGCTGCTGAACCACAACATAGACATCAACAGTGTTAGGTTCAACAACATTCCCCTTATCAATTTTCTTTTCTTTAAATTCAATTTTCTTGTTGCGGCAATCTTTTATATAGTAAGCAATCTTACCACAGCCACAACACTTTCTATTATTTCTTGATTTTGATTTTGATCTTGACTTACTCCTAAATTTCTTTCTGCTATCGTTTCCAGAGTGATTTTGATTTGGATAGGTGTTATTTTACTTATTTAGTTGTCTTCCTCTCATAAATAAACTTTCTGATTCCTTTCCATGTCTTTTAGTTCTAAGTTCCAGTTCTTTACTTCTTAAAGAATTTTTAACAACATTAGGGGTCAAGGTGTCTCTGCAATATTAATGGCAATTTTGACATCCCTGTATGTCTCTGCTATGGCATTCAGAAGTATAACTGCTTTATACTCTTCAGAGACTTTATCCCCAACATTGGTGATATCTTGTACCAATTTATTGAAGGTATCAAGATTATCATCCAGATCCTTGGATGGATCAATTTTAAAACTAAAAAAAACCTCTCTAGAAGAAAAAGTTTATTAGGGACTTCACTAAGTACAACTCCTCTAATTTCTCCCATAGGGCCTTAGCATTTTATTGTTTCCCTACCTTTCTTAACACTTGGTCAAATAAATGGAGGATAGTAGAGGTTTATGCTAAGTTATCAGATTCAGTTCTCTACTCAACAGTCATTGTTACAGGAAAATCACTAGTTACGGTTTTAGCAACTTTTTGTTGCACTAAAACCCCTCTAATTTTTTGTTGTTATATAGGAAAATCTCCCTTCCCATTAAAGACCCCAAGTTCAAAACTAGTTGAGGTCATCATATTAATCAAAACAAGTCACACTCAACAATACTAATTTGATCACAGTAGACAAATGAGAAGTAGAGATTCATGATATTACATGCAAGACAATTAAGTATGTGTAAGTGTAGAAATAGAAACTTAACATACACACTTTATCCAACACAATTTTAGAAGATCAACTACCCATCCCTACAAGGATTCCGTGAGACTCAAGATCTCAGGTTAAGATATGAGTATGGGTAGAAGTTTTATGGGTACCAAATAAAAAAAATAAAAATAAAAAAAGAAAGAAAGAGGCAGGTATCAATATAGACAAAAACATAAAACAATCACAAGTATACTGTAATTCTTCAACGTAACAAGAATAGGCAAGTTAATACAGAACACAGGGTACTAAATGCAAGAAAATCAATCAGGAAAGGATTATCAATCAGTTATGAAAGATAATAAATGGGAAAAAAAAAGAATCAGGCAGTGAATAGGGTTCGAAAAATTAAATTAAACCACAATAGTGGTCGTTTCACTTGACCACCAACAAATTTCACCAAGACCGACAGCCCATAGCACCACCAGATGATGGTCACAAGTTTTCACAAAGAAAGTGTGTCTCGTCAGAAAGCAACACTAGATCTAGGGTTTGTAACCCTAAAAACTTTCAGATTCACAAAGATATTGAAAAGACAAGGTTCAATCCAACCATGATAGCCAATCGAAGGCTCTAATACCACTGTTACACAAAGTAATGAACCCAAAATACACAAAAATAGTCAAGAAAGTGTTAGATCAAAATATGACAGAACAAATCTATCTCCAGCAGCTCAACAAAACTCGAACCAAGGGCATCAAAGTGAACTTTCGATTTGGGGCTCAGACTCAAGAAAACTAGGTTTGTACCCGTCGATGTGACCACGAATACCACCCAAGAACCTTAAGACTTTCCTCTATTAGTCAAGGAAGCCACAAGGCTAAAACCACTCTACCAACTCCTACTACCACACCCAGTGAATGGAATCACAAAGGAACAATCACTTAGAAAAATACACTTTCAATCAGAGATTGGAAGAACACGGAAGGAGAACAGGAATGGAAAAGTCTCAAAGAAGCCTCACTGACTATACCAAAGAGAGAAAAATGACAGTTGGTCTTTCTAGGGGAACCCATGGTTGATATATTTACTCCCAAGAATCAACCATTGATCAAGTCATCATGTAACGGTCTAGGGGGCTCCTAGAAAATAAAGGGAAAACACATTATTTGGCTGCACTTAAAATGCCATGCCTCAAAGAAGCGTTTTAGTCTTTTGGGTCCGGGTGGATTAGGTCACGTTATTGGGCAAGAGCTTGAATATTAGCATAAAACCAGATTTTGAGCTTTAGCACAATTATCATCATTGCCCCTGAAGTTTATTGGCATCACAGCCCAACACTTATCACCAAACTTTTTTAAGATTGTTTCCTGGTAGAAAGCTTCTCTCTACTGTAGAAATGTTGATCAACAATTTGATAGTTCCAGGTCATGTAAACTAAAGAAGAAAATATATTTTTTCAAAAAAATTTAGTTTTAAAAGTTAATTATTTTTATAGTTTAATATGGTAAATATAAAGTTACCAATTGGCCTTTTAAAAAAAGGTCAATTTGATTTATTTTTTTGGGTTGACTAATGGAGAAACTGACATAAAAAGATGGAAGGATTGTCTGCGCAATGAAAGGTGTAATTAAGGGTGAAAATACCAAAAAAAAAAATGGAAGGTATGAACTTTTAAACAATTATAATGAAAGGTATGGATATTTTATGCTAATTCTCCTTTATTAAACATCAATGTCACTACATAGACACATAAATGGCAATGCATAAAATGCATTAGAGATTCTCTTATGATACGGATTAAACTGAACATTAACATTGATTTATTCAGCCTGTGATGTAGATTGCAGTCTACTAAAAACAATCAGCATAATAAACATAAAATATAGCTGCTGCACAAAATAATATCTGCAATGGAAATCAAACCGATGAAAGAGTTCTTGTAATCAAATTCAACCAAACTTTAGAATATCAAAACAAGTTGATTAAATAATAAACTTCGGAAGAAAACCTTATGAGAATTAAATGACTTAAGGACCCTTATAAATTATAATATAGTCCAAAATGTTTTAATTAGATAAATGATAAAAATAAAAGAATCTTCGTCTGAGCTTCAAAGGACGAGTAAGCCACGCTATAGTCAGGGACGGACGCAGACATTTTAGACTAGGGGGTCAGTAACGAACTTTTAAAAAAGTGATGAAAAAATTAAAATAAGATATATCTTATTACAATTGCTCTCTACGTGTTCTCATACTTTGATAACGTTCAATAATTACATCATTTTCAATCTTATCAAAAACATCTTTCTCAATATATGCAATCAAACTATCATTCAACCATTGATCTCCAATTCGATTGCGCAGACGATTTTTGACGTACGTCATCGTAGAAAATGCTCTCTCAACTGTAGTAGTAGCCACGGGAAGAACTAAGGCTAGTGTCACAAGTTTGTAGACTAATGGATACACTTCATGTTTATTCTTCACAACCAACTTCTGTGCAAGATCGCTAATGCCTTGTAATTCTTCAAAGTCTTGAAAAGTGCGCATATCAATAATATACGTATCTAGTTGATCATCAAGTTCTAGGATATCTGCTGCATCAAAATCTACCGAATAATACTGACATAGTCGAATCAATTTGATCTTGTCAAAAGCAGCAAATGAATTATTTGGAGATAAACATGTAACACAAATAAGCGAGTCACTATTTGCTTCAGAAAAACGATCATTCAACTCTTGAAGTTGCATATCAATGACGGCATAAAACATTTCCACACGAAAATGATGCAAATTTGTCACTGTCTCACGCTGTGAACGACCTACAGTTACGAACATATCATCCATATAAGGAACATTGATCTTGTGAGTTTCACAAAACGAACAAATCACTCCCAAAAAAGAATCCCATCCATCATCTCTCATGGTTTGGAGTTTTGTTTTACATATTTGCACCAATTTCATAGCATTGACATTATCTTGATCTTTTCTTTGTAATGCTTTTGACAATTCGTTTGAAATCCCTAAAATCTTTTTCATGAGATATAGATTAAATGCAAATTCAAATCTTAACATCAACTCCAATGAAATGCATGCATCACCTCTTGTTTCGGTACTTGTAGAATCAGTAGCAATCATCTCAATGACTTCGACTATAGTTGAAAACATGGTAATCAAGTTAATTAAACAACTATAGTGAGAGCCCTAACGTGTATCCCCAGGACGCTGAAGAGTAATTTCTTGATTGAGACCTCGTCCGATTGATATTTCACCAATACTGAGTGATTCAAGAATTTTCAATCTTTGATTCTCTCGAATAAGATCACTCCGTTTAGCTGATCCTCCAACAATATTCACCAATCTATGTACTGTAGTGAAGAAAGTTTCAATCTTCGGATGTTTCTGTGCCACGGCTACAAGAGCTAATTGAAGTTGATGAGCAAAGCAATGAATATAGTAAGCACTTGGATTTTCTTTCAAAATAAGTGCTTTGAGGCCATTATACTCACCTCGCATGTTACTAGCTCCATCATATCCCTAGCCTCTCAAATTAGATATGCTTAAACTATGCGTTGAGAATAATTGATCAATTGCAGCCTTAAGTGAGGCAGCTGTGGTATTCAAAACATGAATGACACCAATAAAATGTTCCAATATACACCCATTCTTCACATAACGAATGACAACTGACATTTGCTTTTTCACAGAAATGTCTCGAGATTCATCAACTAAAATTGAGAAGAAACTATCACGAATATTTTCGATAATCACATGTAGACATTCAGAAGCAATAGCACTTACAATATCTTTTTGCACTCTTGGTGATGTTAATTTCAAATTTTCAGGTGCATTTGTCAAAGCAACGGCCTTAATCTCAGGATTATGATCACACAACCAATGCAATAGTTCAAGAAAGTTTCCTTGATTGTTTGAATCTTCATATTCATCATGTCCACGAAATGCCATCCCTTGTCGTAGAAGAAATCGAACACAATCAATTGAAGCATTTAATCGGATTCAATAATTTGTTCAAGCTTGATGCGATTGTTTAACGAGACAAGATCGAATACTTTGTTCTTGATTGTTGAACAATTCATATTTGACCCGAGCTTGATTGTGTGCACTACTTGAAGCCCCAACGTGGTTTCTTATATATTCTTTCTTTTTCCAATTTGAAAATCCACCTTTAACAAATGAACCATCATACAAACCGAAAAGATAACAATAAAAGCAAAACACTGCATCCATTGCTATACTGTATTCCAACCAAGTGGGATGCTCATTATACCACGAAACACAAAATCGTCGGTCTACTTTACCTATTCTTGTGNCTTCAAATTCATCATGTCCACGAAATGCCATCCCTTGTCGTAGAAGAAATCGAACACAATCAATTGAAGCATTTAATCGGATTCAATAATTTGTTCAAGCTTGATGCGATTGTTTAACGAGACAAGATCGAATACTTTGTTCTTGATTGTTGAACAATTCATATTTGACCCGAGCTTGATTGTGTGCACTACTTGAAGCCCCAACGTGGTTTCTTATATATTCTTTCTTTTTCCAATTTGAAAATCCACCTTTAACAAATGAACCATCATTCAAATCGAAAAGATAACAATAAAAGCAAAACACTGCATCCTTTGCTATACTGTATTCCAACCAAGTGGGATGCTCATTATACCACGAAACACAAAATCGTCGGTCTACTTTACCTATTCTTGTGGGTGGAAATATATGATTGCGAGGCTGACAAGGACCTCTTTGCATATATGCTCTTCGAATCACATCTCGAATATTAACATCATAATTCTGTATTGGAACTCTCAATCCAGGATCAGAGGGAAGCTGTGCAACATCAACATCTCCAATATCCTCAACATTTCCTCCACTATCCCCAACATCTCCAATATCCTCAACATTTCCAACGTCTCCAATACCCCCAAATCCAACATCAACATCTCCAACATCTCCAATACCCCCAACATCTCCAACATCAACATCAACATCAACATCCCCAACATCGTTTTCATCCCTTTTCTTTCGAACATTCCTTTCGTCGATATTTTGTTCATCACAGGAAATCGTAGATGTACGTTTAAAGTATTTTTCCATAACTGAAACAAACCAACCAAAAATGAAAAATCAATAAGATTAGAAATGCCTAAATCAGTTTATACTATTTCCTACCTACCAAAAGTCAGACAAAATTTCAATCTTTCCAAATCAATATTATCAATAATCAATTTACATATAAATAAGTAACAAAGCCCTAAATTAGAAAAGGGTCAATTTCCTAAATCAAAGCCCTAAATCAGAAATCCCTAAATTACATTTATTGGGCAGGAACATGAATCATAATTGATTAATTGAACTGTAAATAAATCCAAATTTAGAAATAGAAACTAACCACACATAGAGGCAGGCAGGCAGCAGAGCAATTAACTTATGGTTATTGTCACTTATGGAGAAGAATTCAAAGAAAAAATTTGAGTAAGTGATAAGTCTGTAAGTGTAAAGCTTCTAACCTTCAAGTTAGTAGAACTGGAATCCGCCCCTGACTGATTGCCGGAGAGATTGATGGGTCGTCGGCACTGGCGTCGGCTATTGCTGTTGTAGTCGCAGTCGCATGGAGGCCGGAGGCGTTCTAGGTGGAGGCAGTCAGGTCAGGCAGAAACAGAGGCGGGGACGGGGACGGAGCGGTGGCCAGTGGCTGTGGGTGAGCTCTCACTGCTCTGTGCTGTGCTTCAATGGTGGGAGACTGGGAGTGGGAGTCAGCGCCGTTTGTGCGAGAGACGGGAGTTGAGAGAGAGATATACGGTTGAAGCAGTCAAGCAGGGAAGGAATTGTTTGAGTTTTGACTATTTTGATTTTTGACCTACTAATTTATTTATTTTAAAAAAAAAAACCTTAAAACTAGGGGGTCAATTGACCCTACATGCCCCCCCCAGATCCGCCAGTGGCTATAGTAGCAGCCCATGGACATGGGTGCACCCTCACGTCATCTTCATATCCTTTCCATTCTTCCACTGAGCCACGGACGCATTCGGAAGACTCTACTCCATCAACCTGGCTTACCCTTACAGTTTAGATAACACAAATATCATTTGGCAATGAGTTTTTTTTTTTTTTTTAATAAGAATTATAAGTAATTCCACATATACAAGTGTGAATTTTGGTGAATTCAGATTTTGCAGTAGCATTTTCCATATATCTCAGAAATCTATCAAATTTCTCCAATGATACCGTCAGAAAATATTATTAGCAATCTTTTAGGCTGCATTGTTCTAAAAATAATGGTTTAGAAAAATAATACTGAATAATATTACAGTCCTTTTCTTAATTCACCGGAAGATCTATTTCATTTTTATTTTTTTTAAATTATACATGAACTTGTCATGAAATTTCCTTATGAGTCTAAGAGGAATAAATCATTTAATAAGATGGGTCAATTGCCTTATTAATTTATAAACAACTTAATTAAATAATCCTCTGTTTGACAAAGTTATGAATAGTTTATAAAGAAAAACAGTAATGAATCTCATGAAATTAGCGGATAGTAATGAGTAATTATTATAAATATGTAATTGGATTTGATATTTGATATAAGGGAATTATAAATCATTTATAAATTTAGTAACCGAACAAATGCTATTCGATAGTTATAGTGATGACGGGAAATTTACCCAAGTAGAACTAAATTTCTTGAAAAATATTTTGTGGTATATCAGTGATCATTTGAAATACACAATTACCATTATTGGAGTGATTCAACTTCTTTGATTAGCATCAACCTCGAACCTTGCTATCCAACCTCTTACATTTTCAGTCCTAGCTTCAAAATCGCTTCTATTCACCACGATATAGAACCTTCAAAATACAATCTTTGAAACCCAAGTTCTATTATTACATTTAGCCTGGCAATATAGTAAAAATTAGTTGATTAATACTTGAAAAATTAGTAATCTCTTTATTCAAATAAATTGTATTGATTTATTTTTCAAAGTTCGAGGTCAAGAAGATGAATTAATAATTTTGATAAGATAATTCAATCTTCAGATACTTAGGTAAGAATTTGCGTCCCACTCATTCCATAACGAATCTATAAGTGGAACTGAAAGTATTGTAGGTATTAATTGAGGACTCAAATGCTAATGAAAATCGAAGAAGGGCCCAAATACTCTTTTGAGCAAAATGATGTACGTATCATTATCATAAAGTATGTTTGAGGCCTATAAAGCAAAGAAATTGCCAAATGACAATTCTTTCCTTCTAGATTAATTGACATCAATTATAAGGACTTCAAATATAATCCATCACACTTTGTTTGAATTTTGTTTAGTCATGTCTAAAAATAAAGGCCTTTTCATCTCATTGGTGGCTGGAGTTGCAAATGACTGAAATGGTTTGATAATGAGATCAAAGATATTCAAAGCACATGCTTTGTCCATTAGAAAAAAATTGTGTATATGTTTCCACGAAATACACCCACATATTCATTGAACGTGCATACGCCAAGGTCAACAAAAAGAACACGCGTACACACAGGTTTTTCACAATAATATTGTTTAGACATTTGGTGCAGGTCCAATGCATGTCGTATTAGAGAATATTAAACAATATAAAAAGCCAAAAAAAAAAAATTTAATGCTTTTTTGTCTCATACTTCTCATTTTTCATTTTGGACCACGACCCTTTACAATATTGAAACATAAAGATAGATTTTACTAGCATTAATAATTATTGGAGAAACGTTGGATAATTTTGTGTATTAGTAGTAAATGGTAGTGATCATATTATCTTTCTGCTCAAACAATCTCGGACTCAGAGGCTAAGATAGAGATTTATGGGGTTGAATCGAAATGTTACTCCTCGAAACTAAGGCCATATAAATCCAAACCTTAATGGTGAAGAACAATATTTAGATAGGGGTGTGGCGCACACATTTATGAAATTAAATCCTTGTTTGACTGTTATCAAGCGATCAAATCATTTTTTATTCACATATTTCGTGAAATTTAATAATATTCATTTACTCAATATTGGGGCCCATTTGATTCTTATTTTTTGTCACAAAAATGAAAAATATGATCGTTATCTATCACATCAAACCACCATATTTGACTTTTTATCTATCGTGTGAGTCTCATAACGATCAAATTTTTCATTCTCATTTTTAAAAGAATAGAAATCAAACGGGCTCCTGGTTTATATTTATTATAATTTAACCAAATACAAATAACTATTAAACGTACTTTAATTAAGTCAAACAGAAGGCATTCAGTTTCTTAATTATTTCGATAATGGGGCAAAGGTAAAGGTCTGACTTGAATGGAATATTGAAATTTCAAACGCAAATAACCTTATTTTCTGAAATTAGTGACGACTTCTAATAGGCAAAAGTAAAATAGATTTCTAACTGCGTTTTCATTACATCAATTTTGTCCTGTACTGTCGGCGGATGGACCACTCGACCTTTGTGGGAACACGTGGATTGTCTAGCCCCTGAATGGAAAACTCTTTCTAAAAACATCTTCGAAAAGTGTCTACGAGAAGTTGTATATTATAGAGAATTAATGTTAAAAATTAACTCCAATAAATTTTTTATTTTAACTTTTTAAAATAGAGAACGGATTTAACCCCTATTTAAATTTTGAAAGTCTTAACTTATTAGAGCATTTCAATAGACTCTGTTTATAAAAAGTATTATTTATATAATAGTCAATAGAGCATTCCTAAATATACAAAGTAAAAATAATTTACAATCCAATAATGTCCTCTATTTTGACTCTTCATTTTTTTCCTAGAAAAACGTGTATTTATTTCTTCTCACATTTCATTTAACATTTTTTTTTTTATGTGTCGATGGCCAATCAATTCTAGAGGTGGGCATTTTATTCTCAAAATAGGTAGAACCGGACAGGAACCAAATAGAACAGTCCGGTTCGGTTTCGATTCCTTTATCTAATAGATTGGTTTTAGGACTAGGCATTGAGAACTGATCAATTTCGGTCCAATTTTTGGTACTTTCATAAGAATCAATAGTGATTTTGAGTCTATTTAATTTCTCTTTGTATTAGTATATTACACAAATATGCACCCGATTTTTGAATACTAAATCCTAAAATTATTTTTCATACACTTTTTTTTTCGTTTTATAGTAAAACTTAATGATTAATTAACATTTAAATCTATATAATTTTATAAATACTTTACAAAAATTCATAGTTTTAATGCAATCCTAATAGGAATTTTTTTTTTTTTTTAATTTCTGTCTCCGATAAGAACTCATATTTTTCATTGTTTTCAAAGTGGTTGATTATCATAATCAAGATCTCCTCCATGAAGATTATTAAATATAA